GGTTCTGCGTGAAACAGTGCGACCCATTATGACCAAAGCAGAGCTCAGTCTGTAAACTAAGCTCTCGGTGTTCAAGTCGATCTTTATCCCCATACTTACCTGTGGTCATGAATCGTGGACCATCACTGAAAAACTTCCAACCTGGGTAGCTGCCGAAATGGGCTTTCTTAGACGAGTCGCTGGCCTGACGCGTCTCGGCATGGTCCGGAATACTGATATCCGGAAGAGCCTTGGTGTACAGCCTGTGCTTTTCCAGATTGAGAAGTCACGGCTGCAATGGCTTGGACATGTGTTGCGAAGGCCTCCAGAAAGGAAGGTTAAGCAACTGTTCCTTGCAAATCTGACCGGAAGAAGACCAAGGGGACGACCAAGATTAACCTGGTGCAAATATACGGAAGGAGTCTGTTTCAGACTCCATTTGTCTTGTGCCAAATCTCAGACTCTGGCACAGGATTGGGAACGTTGGAAACTCTCAGCGACCGGAAAGGAGAAACGGCCATGGAAGGTGAAGATGATCGGGGTCTGTAATCCGTTTTAGCACATTTGCAACTGGAGTATCCTCCTTTAACGCAGAGGTATGGATATATGCAGAACGACGTCAGTTGTCAAACATGAAGGACACCTACTTGAACGGTTCCTCGCTATCTGTAATCTCGTCAAGGAAATGTTTTTTCACCGCTACCATTCAACATTGTTACCCAGTTTCTTTTCTGAGATAGTAGTGACCCTTGTAGAAACGAAGATCTGATTTAAGAGGGAAAGCGTAACTGATGAAGTCTGGCCAGATATCATACTGTGTCTGTTGATGTACTTATTGAGATCATTACGTTGAGTAGTTACCCAGCAACAGAACGTTTCTGGCTTGCTACGTCCGTTGTATATCAGCTTTTCATCACTTCTGCTATACAGCATGGGTTACTGCATCGTGTGCGTTACACCATCTCATCGACGACTCTCATGTTTTGACAGGCTGGATGGAGTAAATAGCGTATGCTGAATCAAGTTTATATAACTGTTCTGCTAACCTCCACTTATCGATCTTAATACCAAAAGAGCCGCATGTGACCAGAAGAAAACAGAGTCATTCATTGTCGCCCTGTCATTTAAACCTCCTTATACGTCGAAACCAACGCCGGCAAATGAGCGGTTGTGGAAACCAAAACACGGCAGATGCCGACCAAAAAACCACAACATTCAGGAAAAGGGATAAAAGCAGATCTATTTTTGAAGGGGAATATTTTTTTTCAGCTTTGGCATCACAAATCAGAGAGGCTCTGCTTACGCAGACGGCTGAACGAGATAATCTGAGAAATATCAATTAGGGATGTTTTTGTTCTGTTGGAAGCAGCTGATCGAAAACACCAAAACCTTATGTTTAGAAAACTGCAATGTGGCATGTTGAATTTGATTATGTGAAAGAAACCTCACGACAAGAAGCTGAGTGTTTAATTAAACCCCATGTATAAACCTGCAGTAACTTGCGTAAAACGTTTAAATAAAAAAGATTGTATTCTAACAGCAAACAAGAACCTGTAGTGGCTACAGAATAATCACGTGGACAAACTAGCAGCAAACAGCCAGGATGTCACTTTTTAAACTATTTAAACAAATAAACTTCGGCTGGAATGAGTCAGTAAATGAAAGATCTGAAAAGCACACGCGTGCAGCCTACAGGATGTGAGGTAAAAAAGAACTAGAAAATTCGCGCTGTAAATCAGCTGTCGATCGACTATCCAGTTACCTCAAGCAGGTAGAGGCGGTAACGACAGCTACACAGAAGTACAACAAGGTGGTGACGAGCAACGCAAGCAACGTTCCTTTCGGAATGGCTTTTTGCGGTTCGTTCAGGTCACCGGAAATGTTGGCCCCAGCCATGAAGCCAGTTACCGCCGGAAAGAACACCGCGAACACCGAGAAAAAGTTCTCGTCGCGCCAGTCAGGGAAAAAGTTTTGCTTCAGCGTTTGCCACGAGTATCCGGTGACACCGCGTGCCTGATCTTCAACTGACGGTGGCAAGAATGTGCCAATCAAGTAGTCGATCAACGACACGACCAATACGACGAGCATCACCGACTGCGTCTTCGACTCGAACGATATGCCGATGAACAGGATCACGCACAACATGACCGTTGTGATCAGCGCGATGATTCGAAGGTCCATCATACCGCCGTCCACCATTGCCAGATGATGTTCCTAAAACAAGTGCATCCATTTCTCATAAGCAGAGGAAGCAAATCACTTAGTGAAATTTACTTAAGTGAACCTGAGGCATGTGATAAACTGCCCAAACGCAGGATATAACAATCAAGCAGTAGTGAACAACAAAACCAAAACTGAAAATGGATCCATATCAGGTTGATCACTGTCTGACCCCAAAATGATAGCTGTTCTTCCTTGAGATCATCAGATATTGGACAGCAAACGGAACGACTGCGACTGACTTTCGCTGAGCCTCAACCGGAAACTGCAATGAACGTACACCAATTATTCGTTCAGCCGCTTCGAAAGGCATCAATATAGCGGAGAAATTGAGTCAACTAGAATAGAACTGCTCAGAGCCACGGTTATTATCGTTAATTGTTTGGTTAGCATTTACTACAACTTATCAGCGCCAAAGCTGCATACTCTTTGGTGCAGTTCAAAAAGGCTCCGGATATAAGCTAACTGTCTTCTTTACAGATTATACATGTAGACAGGTGCAGCTTAGAAGAACAGCTGTAGAAGGCAGAATTCTGTGAAGCCTTTCAGCATTGCTGAACGAACGAACACATTCCCAATATGCACAGCACCGAAACCGATCGTCGCACTTTACATAAACCATTGCATTCATCTACTGTTCCAAGTCAAGGCTATCATTAACAAATCACCCCAAGA